AGATATGAGTGCCACTGTTGCGTCCTTAGGATGCTATGTTGATTATGTTTGCAGTTCATAGGTAGGACTATTGGTTGCTTTTCTCCCTTGACAGTTTGCATAACACCTTTTGGTGCTATGAAAGCTAGCCCTCAAAGAGGAGGCTTTCAGGTCAGAGCTAGCTCATAAGCCCCAAGTTTCTGAAATACATACTGTCTTCAGCAATAGGGACTTACCTTCAACCTCTGATGGGCAACCAAGGGCAACAGTGATAGCCTATATTGTTTTGGAAATCTACTGGACTCTTGACCAACAACTTAAAAGGGGGTTTCATATACCTGGTACTGAGGTTTTTGGTTAAATAGTCTATGTCTCTTGAGGGGATCATTGTCACCCCAAGTAGCATTATTTTATTTAAACCATATGTGTATATGCATATACTTACATGTATTATATTAATTTTAGGTAAATAAAAACATAATGATTCCTTATGGCCTTTTCAAACATCCCTTAGTGTTATTTTTGCCTCCTCCTTTCCTCCATTCCCAATTAGACCCACCCCTTTCTCCTCATGTCACTTGTGTCCTGCTATTGTCCTTTCCAGTATTCCTTTCCCTTGCCCCAGTACATTTTTGCTTTCCCGGTTTTTAATGGCTACCTCAAGTTATATACTCACTTCTGAAGACTGCTTTTGGGTTTTGTTGTTGTTGTTGTTTTGTTTTGTTTTTGAGACAGGGTTTCTCTATGTAGCTTTGGAGCCTATCCTGGCACTCGCTCTGTAGACCAGGCTGGCCTTGAACTCATAGGGATCCACCTGCCTCTGCCTCCTGAGTGCTGGGATTAAAGGCATTCACCACTACTGCCCAGCCAGGAACTTTTTTCTTTAAAGAGGGGCACACGAACACGCATTCACGAGCGTGCGCGCACACACACACACACACACACATGCATGCTATGAAATGCCTTAGTGGTTTGGAAATTGGAGGAACTTATGGGGTTCTCCTTTAAATAATTTAGTTTTAGTCAGGAAGTAGTGGCTCATGCCTTTAGAGGCAGGAAGATCTCTGTGAGCTCCAGAACAGCCAAGGCTACACAGAGAAACCCTGTCTTCAAAAAACATTTTTTTGTCTACTTGAGACAGGGTCTCTCTATGTAGCCCTAGATGGCCCAGAATTCACTGTGTTGATCAGGCTGGCTTAGAACTTGGAATGCATGTACCGATATACCCGGTTTATTTTTTTGTTTGTTTCTTTATTTGAGACAGGGTCTTTCATGGCCCAGGCTGTAGCAAGATTGGCCTTGAACTGATCCTCCTGCCTCTACCTTCTGCTGCTAGTATTATAGATATGCCTCACTATGCTCCACCGAATGATGTTTCTAAATCCACAAAACAAAATACTGTGACTTAAAAGGGAAACCAATTTTACTGAAATGCAGGTATTGCCAAAGAGATTGTAGGTGTTCGTACACCATAGAAGAAGAACTTCTGACTGACAATTGGTCGAGCATCGCTGTAAGGTTGTGTTGGCTAGACACATGTGACTGTTGAGTACTTGCAAGGCGGCTAGTCCAAAGAAAGAGTGTAACTATAAAATGTGCATTGCATTTCAAATGACTTAGTATACAATATAGTGATCTCTGTATTTTAATATGAATTGTATATTAATATAGTCATGCTTTGGATATATTTGGATATAAGCAAATGTTTCTATAGTTAGAAATATAAAGCTATTACAATGAGCTTCTAAAGGTGTTAGCTCACTGCCAGCATTTTTGTAGTAATTCATGAGGAAATCAGATGCTGGGATACGCGCCACTCAACCAGCCACTGCACTTGGGAGTCTTGGCAGCATCTCATTTTTCCGTGTTGAGAATGGTCTTAGTCAGGGCTCCTATTGCTGTGATGAAACACAATAATCAAAAGCAACTTAGGGAGAGAAGGGCTTATTTTTGCTTATGCGTCCACATCACAGTCCATTATCAAGGAAGTTAGGAAAGAAACTCAAGGCAGGCGCCTGGAGGCAGGAGCTGGGGCAGAGGCCTTGTGGGAGCATTGCTTACTGGCTTGTTATCCGTGGTTGCTCAGCCTCCTAGCTTCTATATGACCTCCACATGCCTGATAGGGACATGTGGCACAGCCCACAATGGGCAGGGCCTCTCACATCAATTATTAGTTAAGAAAATATACTGTAGACTAGCCTACAAGCAAATCTTATGGGGGTTATTTTCTCAACTGAGAGTTCCCTTTCCCAAATAACTCTAATGTGTCTCAAGTTGGCAATAAACTAGCCAGGACAGGATAGAAATCAGGTCTCCAGCACTGCTTTACACCTCTAGCCTTTCTCAATCTAGTTTTGAGTGTATTTTCCCCCAGAATTTTGTTTGTTTATTTTATCTTTTTCTTCCTGTTTGTTGTTGCTGTTTTTTTGTTTGTTTTTTGTTTTTTTTTTTGTTTTGAGATGTAGTCTTATATGCAATCCTGACTGGCCTTGAACTCATTACATAGACCAGGATAGCATTGAAGTCAGGACCAATTTACTTGCTTGTGTCCCCAGAGTTCTGGGTATACAGACAGGCCTTACCATTTCTGGCTTTAGGCCTTTCATGTAATTATCCCATCATGTTTCCTTTACAAACTAGAAATGCTCAGGATGTATTTTGATGCCATGGTAACTAGCTTGATCTCCCTCAAAATCACAGTAAGGGCCAGTTCTCACCCAGCATGCACTCTGCCTTGCATAGAGTTTAGTTTCATAGGTAAAGGTGGGGAGTGAGCACTTGCTGGGCAAACCCCATGACTTTTGGTGTCTGTTGGGTGTGGTTCTGGTTTATGAATCTAATTGACCAGGAATCATAACGACCAGAAGAGAAAAGCTGGGCTCCCTTTCTGCATTACCAGGAAGGAAGTTGGGCATGTGTAGAAGGCTGACAGACTATAATGCTGTTGGAAACTGTATATGGGACAGAAGAGCACGTCTCAATGAGTACACATTGATTGGTTGCTTGGCCGCAGGGTAGTTAGTGTGCTAAAGCCATGGAGGATATCCAAAGGACATCTGTGCCTTCAAGAAATTAAAATTGGGAAGGGCCCTGGATGTGGAAACTGAAGCATACATCACTGTTGAAGGCAGTGTATTAAAGAGGGCTGGATGAGGGCGTGGGAGTCACAGCTGCTGGGATTTAGAAGGAGGCCTAGATGTGTAGCCATTGTGCAATACCCAAGATGAATGTGGATTTGAACTCCCCTCCCTCGCTTTCTCCCTCCCTCCCTCCCTCTCTCCCTCCCTTCCTCCCTCTCTGCCTCCCCACATCTTCTAAACAGGGTATTTCTCATTCTGTATCCCTGGTTGACCTGGAACTCACTCTGTAACTCTGCTGGCCTGGAGCTTGAGGCGGGTTTCCCACCCCAGTTTCCTAAGTGCTAGAATTATATTTGTGAGCTTCCATTCCTGACTAAAAGCTTCGTTATATTCTGTGTAGATTTTTTTTTTAAGTGAGTAGACCTGTGATAGGGATTATACACAGGGATCTTCACATATAAGATAAGATATAAGATCTATAGCCCTGGGGCTTTATTTCTTGGAAGACAATAGACCCAAAGCTAGCCCCAAATTCTTGGGTTCAAGTTATCCTGCCTCTTGAGCAGCTGTGACTACAGGTGCAAGCACCAGTGTTGGGTTGCAAAGTGTCTGTCAGTGATTTATGCATTTCTAGGATTTATTAATGAGAAGAGTAATGTCTAGATTCAGGATCCCTTTTCCTGACCAGTGGGCCTGGGCATGTTTCAAAATTTAGATTACATCAAATTTTGGATGGGCATAATTGCATATTTGGCATCTTATCCACTGTGGTCCAAGGTAGTGAGCTCTGTTATTCATTTTTATTTTTTGGTGCTAGGGATGGAACCCAAGGGCTTCAAGAATCTAACCTTCTTCTCTGTCACTAACTTACATTCTCATTCCCTTGTGTAATTAAAAAAATAATATTTCTTCAGTACAACACTCTCAGTGGATAAATTCAGACCATAAGCAGCTTTATATTCATGTTAGGTTTCATTGTCAAATAATTTTAGGTCATGTTGGGTTTTGATATAAAAAGTTGTGAAAAACTAAACAAATAAAAAACATCTAAACTAGCTCTTGTAGCATAATAGCACAAGCTTACAGTATGTGTGTGTGTGAATGTGTGCAGATATGTGTGTAGCTGCAACCTTGTGTGCATGTGTGTAGCTGTGCTCACCTATGTGGGTGCATGTGGAAGCCAGAGGTTGATGTCCACAGGGCTCCCTCAATTCCTCCTCCACTTTATTGTTGTTTTTCCCCCCAAAGAATGGAGGAAACTTTGTCCAAAGCAGAGCAATAGTATAGATGAGAAATATCCTGTCAAGATGACAGCATCACATCATTGAAGGTACTCAGGGCATCTGCCTTATCTTGTAGAGCAGAATCTCTCACTGGAGCTGATGCTTGCCACTTCAGCTAGACTGTCTGGCCTGTGAGTCATCTGCCCATCACCACCCTACAGCAGTGGGGTTACAGACACACACTGCTCTACTCCAATTTCCTGTGGATGCTGAGGGATCCGAACTCAGGGTTGTACGCTTATGCAAGCATTTTATTTTCTGAACCGTCTCTCCAGCCCCAGGATTTGTTTCTTATTTTGTTAGACATATTTTATTAGCGTTTATTAATTATACAAAATCACAATCTTTTTACACATTTATATAATGTGCTTTGATCATGTCCCCCCTCCTGTACCTTCCCTGTCCCCAGTCACTTTTCCACTGGGCCCTTTCAAGCTCTTATCTTATCCCCTTCAACTTTCATAACTCGTTTTTTAAATGTAGGTTTTGCACAGGAGAGAATAAGTCTTTGTTTACCAGGGGATGTAGAGTAATGGAAGATGTGATCGGGTCCCTTGCAGAACTGGCACAAAAGCCCAGTCCAAACTCACACTGCTCTGTGTATTTCTTCCAGGGAAACGGAGCTTGACAGTTGTTGTCATTGTACTGTGGTGCCAGAATGGAGGCCCCACTGGTGAGTCTTGACGAAGAGTTTGAGGATCTGAGGCCCTGTTGCTCTGAGGACCCAGAGGAAAAGCCGCAGTCTCTTTATGGCTCATCTCCTCACCACCTGGAGGACCCTTCTCTCTCTGAGCTTGAGAATTTTTCCTCCGAAATAATCAGCTTCAAGTCCATGGAGGACCTGGTGAATGAGTTTGATGAAAAGCTCAATGTCTGCTTTCGGAACTACAACGCCAAGACAGAGAACCTGGCTCCGGTGAAGAACCAGTTACAGATCCAAGAGGAGGAGGAAACTCTTCAGGACGAGGAGTAAGAAGCCTTAGCTCCCCTCTCCTGCACCAGACGAAGCCCATAGTTGAGCTTCTTGAGCTAGAGCTAGCTGCTGTCTGCAAGTTCACGTGGGCAGGACTCACATTCTTCCGTCACCAGTGAGCCAGTGCCTCGGTGACAGCTGACATTATTCTCTAGGTGTCTCTCTATAGTCATCTGGAGAAAGCTTTCTTGGATTGAAATGTTAGAGGAATAAAGGGTTCAGGTTTTCCTAAATACAAAATAGATGTTTAAGAACAAGAAAATGAGAGGCAGGCGTGGTGGCCCACGCCTTGAATCCCAGCACTCAGGAGGGAGAGACAGGTGGATCTCTGTGAGTTTGAGACCTGCCTGGTCTACAAGAACTAGTTCCAGGACAGCCTCCAAAGCCACAGAGAAACCCTGTCTCAAACCACCCACCCAAAAAATGTGGGGATCTAGCTTCCCTTATCTCCCTTCCTCCCTCCCCCTCCACCTCTCTCTTTTTTTTATTTTTTAAAGATTTATTTATTTTTATTTTGTGGATGGATTTTTGCCTGCATGTATATGTGTGTACCACACATGTGCCTACTCCATAGAGGCCAGAAAAGGGTGTGGAATCCCCTGAAACTGGAGTTACTGACAGTTGTGGGCTTCCACTGGATGTGTGGAATTGAACAATGTTCCTCTGAAGATCAGCCAATTCTTTTTACTGCTGAGCCATCTCTCTAGCCCCTCTCTTTTCCTTTTTACATATTTATTTATTTTATATGTATTTCTGTATATGTATGGGCACACACGTGTCATCATGCATGTATGGGGGTCAGAGGACAATGGTCTGTTTCTATCATGTGGGTCCCAGGGATTGAACTCAGGTTGTCAGGGTTGGTGGTAGGTGCTTTTGCCCACTGAGCCATCTTTCAGGCTGTCTCTCTTCCCTGTGGTAACCTTCCCAGACATTAAAAATAAGATCCAGAAGAGAATTTAACTGTGATGGTCTATTCATAAACTAGACAGTTTGCCTCAAGAAACACTTAAATTACAGAATTACAAATCTCAAAATAGAAGTCCCAGACCTGCAAAGTTCACAAATATTGAGATATGTCCAAGTTAGACAGCATCCGGATTGAGAGCCCTGGACAAGAGAAACTTGGAACTAGGTGATGTGGCTTTTGGGCGCTTGAGCCGATTTCCCGTGGGGCATTCTAGCCACCTTCCAGGGCCTTAGCTGTGAAGGAAAGGAGTCGGAGGGAAGCATTACCTGAGGAGAAGTGAGGAAGAGAAGCAGTCTGTTACATGAAGAAGAGCGTTTTACAGCTGGGAATTGGCTCTGTTGGTAGAATGCTTGCCTAGCCAGCATGAAGCCGTGGGTTCCATCCCCAGCACCAAGTTGTGGCTCATGGCTGTAACGGCAGCACTCAATGCAGGGGGATCAGAAGCACAGGGTCATCCTCAGCTACATATACAGTTGGGGGCCAACTTGAATGCATGAGATCTCAGGGGGGAAAAGCATATTTAAAGGGTTTTAGTGATTTAGAAGAAATGCATGAATTCCTGTATGGATAAAAGATACATCAATTCTTCTTTACAAATAACACCAAAAATGTCAAGTAGTTGGATTGTCAGGACCAACTGTGCTTCCTTCCTCCCCACACCTGTGGAGTCTCCAAGCCAGGGCTTTGTACATATTAGACCACTGTGCTACCTTTAAGCTATTTCCCAGGTCCCCTCTTTCGTCTGTGGACTTGAATAGAAAGAACCAGCCATAGTAATTGGGTAATAAATACATTGAGAAACCTGATGGGGAAAGGTTTGCTTGATTACTTGAAAACAAATAGGGCTGCCCCTCTTGAAAATACAGGGGCTGTGCGTGATCTGTCTTATTCATTGTTACATGTCCTCCCCCTTCTCACAGGGCTTAGTGTGCAGTAAGCGATCAAATAGTGCTTTTAAATGAAACATACTAGTGAATGTACTGGATGAGCACTAATCACTAACCTTGTAGGTCCATGCACTGTATTTCTAAGCCACTCTTTTTTCTTTAATTTATGCTAGTTCATGACCAGAGCTATAACTGTGGGTTGTATGTTTCAGTTGAGTTTTAATGTTTCCAATTGATTCTTTCAAAATTCTGGGCCAGTTACAGTTTGCTAGAAAAAAAAGCTGTTGGGCTTTATTAGATTTGTGTGTGTGTGTGTGTGTGTGTGTGTGTGTGTGTGTGTGTGGCGCGAGCACCAGGAAACAAAGAAGCTATGAATTCTAATATTCATACTCTCTGTGTGACCTTGGTCATGTCACTTAACTGTGGCAGATTGCATGGGTCCTCATTTTTGAAACCTCCAAAACTCTTGATGAAGTAGGTCAAGACCTAAGGTCTTGCAGAGAGCCTGTTTTTTTTGCCCTCACTCAGGACATGCTCTGGAAAATGGCATTTTAAAATGAGTCCAGTTCCTATTGTATTGCTTCCAGCTAATCATCTCTTTGCATCCGAAACCTTCTTCTGCCCATTAAAGGTGAAAGCCCAGTGAGCAGCTTCTCATTCCCACCTGGCACATTAGCAGAGGCCGCTCAACGTTAATTACCATCACATGGGACTATTGGGCTTCTCAGCAACGGTTTTCTGTCTTGACTGCCTTATTGATGCCTCAGCTAAGAGACTAGGGTTGGATAATTACAGAGCTAGAGGGAGAGGAGGATGTGGGGGAGTATAAGGGAGGAAGGGAGAAACACTGCACTTTCTAGGCATATAGTGTACATAGAACCTCTGTAAATCTCAAAACAAGACAGAATCATGTTGCATGCTTTGTTTTGCAGACACTATCCAGATCTCTTCAGCTGTGGAATTGTGACTAAGCAAAGGAAAAGGATGATTCAAAGGCTAACCCGGTCCTTAGTCTCCTCTAGTGTTGTGGTAACCTGCTCAGGTTTACTATTTAGAGGGATGTCTCAGCCACAAATAAGCTGCAAGTGTTTTGAGTGGAATTAGAGATAAAGAGTAAAACAAAAACAAGAGGATTCATAATTAAATGAAATTCCTTGAGATAGTGCAAAACAGAAGAAATGCAGTAATTGCCCACAAATCTTCCTGTCTGTAGTTTGGAACCATGTGGCCAATAGTGAATTCATTGATTTGTCATCAATGTTTCTCTGATTCAAGGCATAGAGATTCTGGTATTAAAGGAGAGCTGCCTAGATGTATTGTGGCACACACGTGTGCACTCTGGAGGAAGAGGCAAGAGGATGACAAACTCAATGCTACATAATCAGTTCAAGGACAGTCTTGTTTGTACAAGACCATCGTTGAAAAAATTTAAAGGGAGAGCTAGATTTAAATAGTATATATTATATCATCTATCTATCTATCTATCTATCTATCATCTATTATTTTATCTATCTAATTGGTTTTGAATTCAGAAACTGTTTCAGAATCATCTCCCCCTTTCCTCTCTCTTACTATTTCTCCTTTCCTCCACTCCCTCTCATTTGTTCCCTTTCTTCCTCTCCCCCTCATCTCCTTACCCTTTCAGTTTTGTTTTGTTGTTGTTGGTTTTTTTTGTCTTTTGTTTTCTGAGACAGGGTTTCTCTGTGTAGCCATGGCTATCCTGGAACCCACTCTGTAGACCAGGCTGGCCTTGAACTCACAGAGATCTGCCTGCCTTTGCCTCTAGAGTACTTGCCACCACTGCCTGTTCGGCCTCCTGAGTACTGAGATTATAGCTTTACACCTCCACCACTGACCTAGAATCTCTTCTTTATTTATATAAGCTGTCAGTCTTTTCCCTTGTTATAAAAGAGGGGCCTGGAATTTAGAACCTCTTTGAAGCCACTACAAACTGAGAGTGGAAAACCAAGCCAAAGCAAAGGGAAAACAGGGATGGATAGCTCTCACCCACCTTTTGTCTTTATTAGGATGGTATATTGCCAGTTTCAGGCTTGCAACTTGTATATGTGTCTTTGTACAAATCTACCTCATTGGGATTGCTCATACTCAGACAGCATCATGATAAGAACAGAGACAATCTGATTTATCTTGCATATTTGGTAAACGAAAGTGAAGGGAGCTTGCAAAATTGGATGGGAAAGCAATCTGTCTGTGATATCTGTCACCCCGCTGATCACCAGTATTAACCAAGCTGATCTGGCCCAGCTAGGTGGTGCCCCCTTTCTCCTTCACCACCCACATGGATCCCTCCAGAAACTGTATAAATCAACTGGTCATGAGGAGAACCTTCCCAGAAGTCCTCTATGAAGCTGTTCTTTGGTCAAGGATATAAAAGTAGCTGCACTCTCCTTTGAGAACCTCCAAAGAGGCAAAGCCTCCCCTTCTCCAAGAGTAAATGACAGGATGCTTCCTAGAAAGTGGCATTTGTTTGTTTGTTTATTGTTCTGGAGAGGGAGCCCAGGCCCATGCACATATAAGACAAAAGCTTTACATCCTTGTCCCTGAGAAGAAAGATTTTAAATCTCAAAGTAGCCAGATGTGGTGGCCTTAATCCCAGCACTGTAGGGAAACAGTTGAAGGAGTATTCTTTCCTGAAGTACTAATGTAACAGTGATTTAAGAGCAGACCCACGACCTTTCCAGTGGCTGTGGTTAGAAAGTCATTTTCTTCTTGGTTCCACAATGCCGGCGGGATTTGGCTTTACAGAGTGTTAATAGTGTCTGACAGTAATTGGGATAGTATCCATGGTTTAGGATCCAGGCTCTGGGGTGGGGAGGTGGCTTAGTGGATGAAGTGCTTGCCTCACAAGCATGAGGACCTGAGTTCGGATCCCCGTGTTGAGTTCAGCACCCGTGTTGAAAGTTGGGTGCACCAGCAGAGTTCCTGTGGAATCTTAATGTTTCCGGGGCAGAGACAGGTAGAGCATGGGGGCTCACTGGCCCTGCCAGCCTAGCCAAAATGATAGGTTCAATGAGAGACTTTGTCTCAAAAAGTATGGTGAAGAGCAATAGAAGATACCCAAAGTCATCCTCTGGTTTCCCTTTTAATTGTGTGAGTATTTGCCCCAGCTGGCCTGGAACATA